GGGGGGGCACAGCACCCCTGAAAGCACAACCCACGTATGCCCCAGGGGCTGGGATTCTGCTAGGGAAGCTGAGGCATTTGGGGCTTCAATGTTCATCTTCTGCCTGAGACTCAGCAAATTATTTTGGTGTCTGTGCCCACCCCACTGAGCTAAAGGAAGAATTACAACCTGGTTTAGCTCTGCTAAACCAAATCTGTTGATTTGAGTGTTCAAAACAATCATTTACTATCCTTGTCTGTATTTAATGACTCCTTATCCAGAGTTATGAGTAAGATTAAGATTTCAAGATTTTCATTTTTAAGGGGCAATTAAAAGTTATCAAGGTTCTGATCCCAGTGCCACAATTTGATTGTTTTTTCCCCCCTCCACCATTCTGTGAGAGATTTCAGTACTGGCACAGCACAACAACTCAGCACAGGCAGCAAAACCCGTGGGCAACTGTTTTACCCTTGAAGCTTTCTTTCTCATTCTGGAATTGAAATCTGATTGCTAGATGGAAAACAGAAAACCCTCACGTTAACCACAGCTCCCAAACCTGCAAGGGTTGCTTTGAGACCATCTCCTCGAGTCAGCAGAACTGGCACCCAGCAGGCAGAAGGCTTTGGAGATAACCTGAGCCCACTCCTGTGTCTGTCAGGGTAACACAGAGGTGCCCAGGGTCTCCTCACAGAGGGGGTGTTAGAAATTTTGCTAGAAGGTGCTAGAAATCTTGAAGCAATGGGTTGGTGTAACACCAGTACCAACCTGTGGCACAAGCCCAGGGGAACCAGAGTAGGATGAGGTGGCTCTGAGCAAAGCTAAACCCAAACCTAGGGTGGAAATTCCACACAGAGAACAGAAACTTGGCAGGAAAATATTTCAACAAGTTTAACAACATTTTAACAACCACCAAAAAAAAAAATCCACTTTGGTTGTAGATGTTCAGAAGCCTTCTGAAATGACAAGAACACTTAAAGTCAAGCCTGAAGAAACCAGACTGGTTTGTTTTCAGTTTTCCTGTCTACATGGCATTCTGGGTTCTCTTTCCATGTGAATTGACTGATTTTTTGTAGCAGAAAATTATTCTGTGGGGACAACTTGCTGTTTCAACAGGCTCAGATGGAGGCAGTGATTAGACAAAACTGCTCTGTGTGGCAGAGAGAAAAGGCACATGGACATATCCAGGAGGGATTCCAGGCCTATGCTATATAACAGCTTCAAAAGATGTAACACATTCTTCTCCAGGGGGGAAAAAACCCCAAACCTCACAGGAATACAGGTAGCTCAGAGCCAGGCTAAGGGCTCTGCAGCACAGAAGCAGCCAGTTGATGACAGGGTTGGGCTAATGCCAAGTAATAATGGCCACTAGTCACTGCACACCTCAGTGCTGGGAAACCAGGGACAGATGCTTCTCCCCACAGCCACTCTGCTCAACTCTGTGCTCAGCCTCTCAAGGCTTTGGTGTTACTGTTGCACTTGGAATGGCCAGCCCAGAATATGAATAAAAACCCAGAGAGAAGCACAAAACAGAAGAGCAAGAAGTTGTTTTAATTTGGAACAGAAAGGGGAAAAAAAAGCAACCCCAAATAAAACAGGGATGTCATTTCAAAGCAAACTTCACCCATCTGATGCACTCCAAGCTGCAAAAGAATTATTTATAAAGCCCAACAACACAGCTTCTTCTCTTGCTAAAGTGAGGAACTAAGAGAAGCTGTTTGCTCTGACAGCTTCACTGTCACCCTTTGGCATTCAAACTTTTGATGTCTGGAGTTTAAGGCAAAAGATTTTGAAATTCCTTTTCCTTTCCAGGATGTTACTGCATGAAAAGGAATAAGCCAAGTTGAAAAGTTCAGGGCTGTCAATTTTTCTTCTTGTGAAACCCTTGAAGATAATGAGCTTGAAAAGCACATTTACCTGCCAACAGGAGAGCAAGATGCTTCCTGCAAACTGCAAGACAAGAGAGGCTGAAGAAAGCACAAGCAGCCCCTGCTCAAGGCATCACAGACCTGTGCTCTTTGCATCTCACCTACTGGAGGTGAAAAAAACACCTCCTGGCCCCCACTGCAAGCTCAAGTGAAGCAAAGCCCACGTTAATCAATACCTGAGCAGAAAGTCTGACACTCAACACACAGTCTGAAAGCAGAAGGAATCCAGTGAGATGAATCATGGTGATGTCACCTCTTTAATAATAAAGATAATGATGTGTGAAGTTTCACCAGAAAAGGGAGGGAGGCCTGGAGGGTGTAGAGAGCTGTTATTTCTCACCATACCCTTGCCTACAACCACACCACAGAAGTGTAGCTGTTAAGAGTTGTTAAGGGCTGGAAAAGGGGCTGAAAGGAAGAATGATTTTACACTGAGGGTGTTGAGCCCCTGGCCCAGGTTGCCCAGAGAGGTGGTCACTGCCCCATCCCTGGCACCATCCCAGGTGAGGTTGGCCAGGGCTCTGAGCAACCTGCTCTAGTTGGGGATGTCCCTGCTCCCTGCAGGGGGTTGGAGGAGATGACCTGTAAAGGTCCCTTCCCACCCAAACCCACCTGTGATTCTATGAACTGCAGATCTAGCACAGCAGCTAAAGGCAGGTTGCACCTAGAGATATAAGTGAGGAAGTACAGAGAGAAGTGCAAAGCTTCTTCCAGGAGCCAGCTGCACCTTTTCACCACCCTGAACACCTCCTGTAAGATCCCTTTCAACGTTTGGAAGATGAAATAAAGGTTACCTTCCATCCAGTCCTCTGCCTGCTGTGCTCTCCTCTGGGCCATCAGCCTGCTGCCCATGTTCCTGCGGCGCCGGGGCATCCCCTCTCCTCTCTCCTCTGCCTGGGGCCGGGGCCTGGCCCCCAACCCTGCTGCTGCTGCTGCCACATTTTGCTGCTGCTCCTCATCAGCTGCAAAAGGGAAACACAGTCAGAAAAAAGGAGAGATGTGCAAGTTGCTTTCTCAGTCTGCTCTGCCTTAATTCAGGTAAATATCCCAGCTGTCCCACAGGGAGCTGCAGAGCTGCTCTCCCCAGCTCAGGCTGTGGGGGTTTGGTGCTTTGCTGAAACACACTGTGCTCCAAGAGGAGCATGAAATGGTTTCCACACTCTGGCAAGTCTCCAGCATCCTCAGATCCAAACAATGCCTTCCTAAAAACCACCTACTGTCAGCATATCTGCTGATCAGAAAAGGAGATTCATCACAGCTCCAGCTCCACAGCCATCAAAGGTGTGCCTGCAGCTCAGCTCAGATCTCCCCCAGCTTTGGTACAGCACCCAGCTCAGCACAGGCTGCAGGGCAGGGACCTGGGGCAGAATTTGACCAGCAAAGCCATCAGCAGGTCAGGATTGCTGCACAGACATGAGAAGTTGCCCAGTAAAAACCAGCAGTGACACACACCAGTCCCCCAGCAAATTCCAGCACTGGCATGCACCCTGACACACCAGCAGGAAAGGACCTAAGGGGTTGGTCAACAGCCAGCTGGAGAGGAGCCAGAGTGTGCCCAGGGGGCCAAGAAGGCCACCAGCATCCTGGCCTGGAGCAGCACTGGTGTGGCCAGCAGGAGCAGGGCAGGGATTGTCCCCCTGGACTGGGCACTGGGGAGGCTGCACCTCGAATCCTGGGGTCAGTTTTGGGCCCCTCCCTCCCAGCAGGACCTGGAGGGGCTGAAGCGTGGACAGAGAAGGGCAACGGAGCTGCTGGGGAAGGGTCTAGAGCCCAAGTGTGGGGA